CTCAGGGTTTTATCATCTACTTTTGGGATCCTTAGCACCAGCCACCCAGGGAATCAGGTGAGGCCATTTCATTTCACAGATGCCAAAACTGGAGTTTGAAAAAAACATTGAGGGCAACTTCTTCCCTGCTTTCCTGTGAATCTGATCTTTTCTGAAATTTCATGGAGATTCCTCTTCAGGGAAGGGCACAGAGCGGGGACCATGTGCTCTGCCATCAGCCAGGTGGACTGCCTGTTTCCAGTCCCCTGGCCCCTGTATGTACTGTCCCCACTGCCTGGGTGTTCTCCCTCCTCTCCACTCACCTGGATGAGGTGTTCATCCTGCGCATAACTTTTTTAGAAATCAGGTCTGCTCATCCCAAGCCACTACATTCACTATTATAGGTCTGTTCATGTTTTTTATTTTATTTTATTTTATTTATCTATTTATTTATTTATTGTATTATTATTTGGTATCATTAATCTACAATTACACGAAGAACATTATGTTTACTAGACTCCCCCCATCACCAAGTCCCCCCCCACAAACCCCATTACAGTCACTGTCCATCAGTGTAGTAAGATGTTGTAGAATCACTACTTGTCTTCTCTGTGTTGCACAGCCCTCCCCGTGCCCCCTGCCTCCCCACATACATGCTAATCATAATGCTTGGGCTTAACTTTTGTAACTATACTTAGCATGTTATTATTAAGATGTCCTTAAGATCTGTCTCTTGGATCAGGCCTAATTCTCCATCCCTAAGTTGCTGTGTGAGCCTGGGCAAGGGATCTGTGGATCTGTTTCCTCTGAGCCTTACTTCAGTTATCTGCAGAATGCGGACTCATAAGAGTAGTTCTTTTTTTGTGAGGTACATAGTGATTGCTCCATCTGAGCTATTTTTTTTTTTTTGAATCTTGGACAGGGGAAATAATAGCTAACAAAGACTTGAGCAGTTCAAGAGGGAAGATTGAGAAGTCTAGATTTCCCTTCCTCCCACAGGCTGTGGAGAGGAAAGAATGTTTTAAATAGGGGAGCTGGGGGAATATTTTTCAAAGGCTCCCTTTTTGCTTCATATCTTTAAGCCCTGGGGAACTGAGTGTGGGACAGGGATGCCTGAGTGCCCCCCTCCCCACTATGCCCACCGTCCCCCACTTCCTGCATTGTGTCTTTAATTAATGCAATTAACATTTACAAGGGGCTGTGAAGTAGCTCTGCTGCTAGTACCAGCCTGGAGGAAATAAATGACATCACTTCTCAGCTTTATAGCTGGGTTGGGGGGAGTCCCTGGGCCGTCTCCCTGAATCTAATTGGGGGTGCCACCCACCCTTCTGTCTGCCACATTGCATTTGGACACATCTGACCTGGTTCAGTCAGGGCATAAACACCCTACACTAATGAGGCAGGGTCTTGCATGGAGAACCTTGTGGGTGAGCCCACCCCTGAATCACATGCTAGACCCTAGCCTCTAGGAAAGGGTCAGAGTTCACCCAACATTACAAGGTTAGACCACCACCTTCTGTGAAGGGAAACACTCAGCTGGTGTATCATGTCCCTAAGGCATAAGGCTCCCATAGCCCCTGGGATGTTGGATGCATTGTGCATAACTTTATAGTCCTCATCCTCCTTGTCTTGGGCACAGCAATTAGTAGGCACATGCCCTGGACTGTGCATGGACGTGAGTCTTGGCACTGCCACTTTGTGGGATGACTTAATTCATCTGAGTCTGTTGAGAGGAGGTTGATAACAAGACAGGTCTTAGGATGGTGGTGGGGTGGGAGGGGTTTGAAAGAGATGTTTGTACCACTTTTAGCTTAGAAAAGGGACCTGGGAACTGCACAATAGTGGGGTGGCAAGGTGTAGCTCTAAATGCTGGTCTTAGATAAAGCAGTTGGCTTATCTTGGGGGCCATATTATCTGAGAAATGCTGATCTTTAGTCACTAGATGCTGAACTGAGATACATGGGAGGAGGTGAAAGAGATGTGTATCCACCATTACATACCAGTCCCTGGTACTAATTTCTTCCTGTTTCCAAGAGCATGTAGTTAAATTTGTGTGTTCTTGATTGCTTAACTTCCTTGGACTTGATTCATGTACTGTAACAAGTCACATTGATCAAGTGTGCATCAGGATGTTTAACCTATCTGTGCCTCAGTTTGCCCATCTGTAAAATAGGGGTAATGGAATGTACCACATATAAGGATTGAGTTAGTACACATACAGCTCAGAAGAGTGCCTGGCATGTGGTAGTAAACACTGAAAAAAAATTGGTATATTATTAGGTGAGAGGATTTATATACCCACATGAAGACAGCCAGGTTATTACTTTTTGGAGCAGAAGCCTTTGAGAGAAGCCTTCCCAGCTTTTGAGATGTGGTGGTTGAAGTCTGAGTGAGGAGGCATGTGGTAGGGAGATGGGGAGGGCATCTAGACTGAGGGAGCCACAGCAGCTCCTTCCTGGAGGCTGGATTTATTTGGCCTGTGTGTAGAAGGTGGATGGTGGAGAGGAACTAACTGAGCTGCAGGGCCTTGGAGGCTGGTGTGGGTTGTGGCAGTAAGGTGACAAGGGTAGTTAATGCCATCACGAACCCAGGTTGATGACAACTACTGAGAAGGAATTTTGTATGGAACCACATACTGAATTTGCAACTGGGAGGAGGGGAAGTTCACTGGCCAGCTCACTGGGGCGCCCTGGCTGCTCGCGACACCACTGGTTGGTTTCTGCGTCAGAATCTCCCTCCAGTGCTGGGGCTAGTCTAGGTGCAGGATGTTTTCCTTGAGTGTGGAGATCTGGCATTGGGAAGGTGCTTTGCTCACATGTCTGTCCAGCAGGCTGGCAGACATGTTGGCACTGCTGAGGCTCTGGGAGACAGCCTGAGGTAGTTAATCATTGTTGGCTGTGGTTTCCAGGCTCTACCTGGGCCTGTACAAGAGGGAGACTCCTGATTGACCCAGTTAGGGGCTGTCTGACTGAGGGAGCCCTGGATAGCCAGTAAAAAGTCATGCCCCTTGATTTTAGCCTCTGACCTGCTATCAGCTCTTGACTAAGCAGCTCTGTCTGCCTGTATGCCTCCCCCAAATTCCCTGTAGGCCCTCCCGGTGTCTTGAACCCTGTGGCCCAGCCTCTCACCCTGTGCCAGGCCACCCAGGTTACTTAGTTCACTGGGTTGGCCTGAGGCGAAACGATGGAAAGTAATTATTACTTTGAACCACACTCCAGCAGTTTTCCTGGGATTTTGGCAACTTCTCACAGGAACTGGCCCTAGGTCAGCCGGTCTGTTCTTCGGGGTTAGGGCATGGAGGGAGTTAAAGGTACTGAGAGGCGGGGTCAGGCACTTCTCTGTGGGGCTGGTGTGGTTCCTTAATGTGTAATGAAAGAAAACAGGCTAGGAACAGACCTGCACACCCTGGGCCACATTGTGCTGTGTATCAGTGTATACATTTATAACCAGAACAGTGCTTCTGGAACTTGCCTCTTAATCACCGAGGGATCTTGTGAAAATGTCCATCTTTATTTAGTAGGTTTAGCGTGGTGCCTGAGATTCTGCAGCTCTAACCAGCTCCCAGGTGTTTCCAAGAGTGCTGGTTCCTGGGCCATATTGGGAATAGCAGAGGTCTAGTTGCCCCACGCCCACACCTGTGGGATGGACAAGAGCAGAGGAGGGAACTGGGATTCCAATTGGCATTGTGAATCCTCCTGGGGGCGCTGCAGGCCCCTTCAGACTGAGCTCCCACAGCGCCCCCTGGTGGGTGTGGTGCCAGATGATGCTTCTGGAAGGTACCCTGGGAGGCTAGCTTGGGTCATCTGGTCCCGCATGGTGAGTCCCCGGGATGGGCCGGGAACACTCAGAGCTGATAGGCAGCTATTTTCTGGGGAAGTTTTTCCCAGGTAGTGTTCCAGACAGGATGGTGTGGCGCCAAACACCTCTGGAGCGGTTTGGGGGAAACTAAGGAATGGGATTCTGGGGGCCTCATGCTGTACCTGGGCTCTGTATTTGCCTTGGTCCCACCTTTTAGATATGATTTTTGACTTGAGAGACTAATCCAGTCTGTGTATCAGTTTTTCCTTGTCTATAAAACGGGCCCACAATTACATTAGAAGGCATAAATGAGAGAAAGGTGCAGGTTCTTATAGCCAAAAGATGTTGCAGGCTGTGGGCCGGGTTGAAGGTCGCACAGCCCTTCAACCCATCAGTGAAGACCTGGCTTGAGCTGGTCTTGGCGGAATAGCCTAGTAATGATTGCAGTTGTCAGGAGAGACAGCAGCGGGGAGACAAAAGCCCAGAGGTGGGGTGAGGCTGGAGCAGATGGGGGCGTGCTCCTTGTTAACTGCCCCAGTCCTTTGCTGTGCCTTCTCCATCCCTTCCCTTCTTGGGAACTTGGGACTCTGAGCCCCAGCTGGTGAGGGAGGAGGGGAGTGAGCGACAGGCCATCAGACCAATGGGCCCCTGAGGTTGGAGCAGGGCGGGGCTTGTGCTGCCATGGAGAGGAGAGAAGCTGTTCTGTGGGGGAGGAGGGGGTGGGTGGGAAGAGGACCTGGAGATTGAGGGGAAGGGAGAGAGCAAACAAAGGGGTCAGGAGGGAAAATAATGCACTGGCTTCCTGAGGCCCTGCAGAGCCTGGGCAGGGAGAGGGGGCCAGGGGCAGAGGGGACCAAGGCTGGCGGCAGGCAGGCCAGGGCAGGCTGGTCCTAAATGGCATTGTTTGAAGTGGCCGGCTAATTGCACAGAGCAGTCTGAGCCTCAGACCACGGCCCAGCCCCCTCCTCTGTCCTGGGTGCTGGCCTCTGAGTCTTCAGGCCGCCTGGCCACATGGAACCAAGTCCTGAGCCTCCGAGTTTGGTGAGGGGGGCAGGTATGGGGGGCAGCCTGGGCGGGGTCCTTGGGCAGGAGTATCACCTTGAGAATACGTCAAGGGACCTCTCTTGGCCTGATGACATAGGGCCATTGGCAGGAGGTTTGGGGGTGTGCTGACCCCTCATGCCCTTGCTCCTGTGCTACCCTGCCAATTCTGGCCCTGCCAGGAAACAATGAAGGGAGACACCAGACGTCTCAACGGAGAGGAGGACGCCAGCAGGAGGGAAGACTCCATCATGACCAATGGGGGCTGCAGCGACCGGTCTTCTGATTCTAAGGATGCGCCCTCTCCCCCGATCCTGGAGGCTGTCGTCACCCCGGAGATCAGAGGTGGCTGGGCCGTGGGGAGGTGGAGTGGGGCAGGCTGCAGAACACAGCTGGGGCATAAGTCTTCCAGCGGGCTCAGGGCAGGTTGTGGGGAGAGGGTCTGCTCTCTGACAACTTCCATCATACCCCCTAGGGAAGGGAAGAGGATGTAGGCAGAGCAAAGCCCATTTTTCATCCCTGCCACAGCCCCTGGCCCCCTCCTCTCCTCTCATCTCAGCTGGGATTCAGAGGAGATGACCCTAAGGTGATGACCCCTGTCCTTTATCAGTCACGATAGGGGTGATTGCAGCATAAGCTGGGGTCTTTGATGGCTCTTGTGCAGTGGGACCCCTGCCTTACAGCTGGGGCTGATTGTGTGGGAAGAAAAAGGCTTCCTTTCTCAGCATCCTTTCCCCTGAGCAGTTCCCAGGTCGTACCACCTGGGAATCCTACCCACTGAGATTCTCAGACCCAGCTGGTTTGGAAACCCCTGTACTGTCCCGTCCTGTTGTTGAGAACTCCTGTAGAGCTGTGCTGTCCAATGGAACTTTCTGCAAGAGTGGAAGTGTTCTTTTTCTGCATTGTTCATCATAGTAGCTACAAGCCACATGTGAACACTTGAACTGTGGCTGATATGACAGGCACTGGATTGCCCATTTCAGTGTCATAAATGGCCAGTTCTGCAAGGAGTTTGATGCCTTTTCTTACAGGTACCTTCAGTATTGTTTTGGGTCTTTTTAGGTGCTTGCCCTGTGCCCTGTTGCCTTATGAACTGTGTGAGTACATCGAAGGGACTATGGATGGGTCCTGAGGAGCTAGGAGTTAACCCCAAGGATGTTTAGGAGATCCCAACCATAGCCCAAAGAGGAAGGCCACAGAGGACAGCCCATCAGCAAGGAAGACGTGGCTGTCATGCAGCGGGGTAGCTGCCTCTTCCTCAAAACACGGACTCTGGTTCTTTCCTCCACAGGCCGCAGATCAAGCTCACGACTATCCAAGCGGGAAGTCTCCAGCCTGCTGAGTTATACTCAGGTACAGGATCTACTCTCCCTTTTTCAGGGTTCTGGGGTGTTCCCTTAAGCTTTCATTAAATGTGGAACCTGGGGCCCACCTAAGCTACCCAATAAATATTTGATGAATGACAAATTTTGAATACTGTTAAGCGCACAGAGGGCTTCAAACAACCTCACTTTAGGATGGTATTTGCTGTTGTTATAGGCCAAGTCTTTCTTTCTTATCATAACCATTAATTTCATTAAACTAGGAAGTTTTTTACTACATCATTCCACTTAGTTTTTGAAGTTGTTTTTTTCTTAATCTGGATGATGAGTTACACTGATAAATTTCTTATGTAGCAAACTGTCCTATTCCTGGAATAAGTCCAACTTGGTCACGGTATGTTTTGAACTTGATTTACTTTAGTATCTATGAATAAAATGGATATATGATTTTATTTTTTTGTAATATATCTTTGTCTGGTTTTGATAGCAGGGTATGTGGCCTCAAGGAATTTTTTTTTTTCTCTTGACGCATTAGAAAGAACTTGCCTAGCTGTTTCAGGGAATTTTTAATAATCACCACAGTATCTTTTAACACTTAACTGCAGTATCTAGGTTTCTACTTATCTCAGTTTTTTCCAAGTTAGTTTTTCCATGTTTTTTTATTCCTGACATTATTTATGCCTTCTGTTTTTTTACTAAATCATACTAGTGTTTTGTCCGTTTGGTTACTTTTTCAAAGAACCAGTGTCAGGCACTGGGGACAAAGTGCTAGACAAGTCTTGGACAAATGAAAAGTGTGCCTCATACAGTTTCTGTCTATCCTGCTGGAGGGCACCCAGTGGGCACTCAGACGGTGAGGAACAAGAGCTGTGTGGAGAACTGGGACAGTGTGCCGGGACCAGAGGCTCAGGACAGCTGTTTCAGTTCTGGGAGACAGCCGCAACAGTCAGGCCATGTCCTGTCTGAGCATCTCCTCTGTGCCTGGCCTTGGGCGAAGCATACATTAACTGGATTCTCACTACAACTGTGTTAATGCTATAAGGGCCGCCCTGTTACAGTTCTACAGAGAGAAGAATGGACTTGCCCAGGCCCACAGAATTGGCAAGTGAAAATTCAAGTCCTTAATCCCTCTGGCCAGACCTCGAGGCTGCTCACCACTGCTCTAGTTTTTGTGCTCAGTTTTCACTGTTTTGACGTATGCCACTGACTTGGACTAGGGAAGCCTTTACAACTTGACGCAGAACTGGCGCCATTTCTTCCTGGTCATTGTGTCATGAGGTATCTCCCTTGAGCCTATGATTTCTCCCAGACACTGTTAATTGTGAAAATTGACCAGTCTCCCTTGCTAGGCATGGCCAAACCAGTCTAACTAGGGTGTAGACACAGAATCCTTCATGATACATATTGCATTGACACTCATTTTCTCAGTTTCCTGATTCCTCTGGGGTTTATCTTGTCAGTCATGTCTTGAACTCATGTGGTGAGCCATTGTAGAACCTTTCTGGAACAAAATGAGGTAGTTGAACCTTTTAAGGTCATGTGGACCAATATCAAGATTATTTTCAATATGATTAACTCTTCCTTTTGAAACTGTTCTGGTTATCTGACCTTTTAGTGATACCCTAAAGCTTATGTTTCATTTATAAAGGATCTCACAGGTGATGGCGATGGTGAAGGGGAAGATGGAGATGGTTTGGACACTCCAGTGATGCCAAAACTCTTCCGTGAAACCAGGACACGGTCTGAAAGCCCAGCTGTAAGTCCCCAACTTTGAGCTAACGAACTTCCAGCCACGCATAGGCCTGCCTAGAAAAACTTACCTTGGTTCTCCCTGGGGAACTTTGGAGAGAGGTGAACAAATGTTTCGACATTGGAAAATGACAGCAAAGCTCATGAACTATCCTTGTGAAGGTTTTCTTTCACACATACATGGCAGTTTTTAAACTCTCTCTTTTTATTTTGGTATCATTAATCTACAATTACATAAGGAACATTATGTTTACTAGGTTCCCCCCTTCACCAAGTCCCCCCCCACAACCTCCATCACAGTCACTGTCCATCAGGGCAGTAAGATGCTATAGAATCACTACTTGTCTTCTCTGCGTTGCCCAGCTCTCCCTGTGCCCCCCCCACATTATACATGCTAATCATAATGGCCCCTTTCTTTCCACCTGCACTTATCCCTCCCTTCCCACCCATCCTTCCCAGTCCCTTTCCCTTTCATAACTGTTAGTCCATTCTTGGGTTCTGTGAGTCTGCTGCTGTTTTGTTCCTTCAGTTTTTTCTATGTTCTTATACTCCGCATATGAGTGAAATCATTTGGTACTTGTCTTTCTCTGCCTGGCTTATTTCACTGAGCATAATACCCTCTAGCTCCATCCATGTTGTTTCAAATGGTAGGATTTGTTTTCTTCTTATGGCTGAATAATATTCCATTGTGTATATGTACCACATCTTCCTTATCTCTCTCTCTTTTTTTAAAAATGCTCTTGGAAGTGCCCAAGGATGATAGCTTGCAGGTAGATGGCTCAGTTGCCAGTTACCTTGGGGAGTCACTTCTGTAGGTGAATTCTGTGACTTAAAGTTTGAGATCTGGAAAAGGGGGAGGCAACTTTTGCTCATGGTCTCCCAGCCCTGCTAAGCAAAACAGACTGACACTTGGTGACCATTGCAGGCCCAGTTCATAGTCTCACCCAGTATATGTGTATCATCCCCTTTTACAGGTGAGAGGATTCCAGTAACTTACCCAAAGTTAAACAGTTAACTCTGGTGTGCAGGATTTGAACACAGGTCTGCAACACCCAAGTGTGTGCCATTTTGAGACGGAAATTTAAGGGCTCCTCATCCACTTTTGCTCCACCACTTTTCCTGAAGAATGTAACAATCGTTCTAAAGCTTTTTGGAAAAAAAATGTTTGGTTTAGAGTAGACTTAGATTTTATTTTTCAATTTAATTTGTAGGTAGCAGTTTCAGCTGTGACAGGCAGAGTGAGATCTGCCGTGGACTGTCGGGTGGCACTGCTGGTTTCTCTATTCCCTTATCTCACTAGCTGGAGAGTTTTGGGGTGGGAAGTAGCCACTCCAGAGTCCCCCCACTACTTAATGTCTCTTTTTCTTCTGTTGACCTAAAACTGCCTCTTGGCCCCTGCCGGAGCCTCCATGCTTCCAGTCACCAAAGGCCTCGTGCTTATCCTCTCTTGCTTCCAGGTCCGAACCCGAAATAGCAACAGTGCCTCCAGCCGGGAGAGGCACAGGCCCTCCCCACGGTCCACCCGAGGCCGGCAGGGCCGCAGTCACATGGAGGAGTCCCCCGTGGAGTTCTCAGCTACCAGGGTTGGTTCCCAGATGCTCAGACCCCATCCCCAGACTAAGTGGGAGAGCTGCCTCTCTCACTGCGTCACTGCTCACGGCTGGTGACAACTTGTTTCCATTCTTTGCACTCGTCTCCTTTTCAGAGTCTTGCTCTCCTTTCTCTCCTGGGTACTGGTAAGCTTCTCTTTAAGCCTGATTTCTCTCAGCCTGAACCTGGATGGAACTTGGGTGAGAATGTGAAAATTCCCGGTTGACTGGGTTCTTGCCCCTCCTCGAATGAGCTCGAAACCACCAACTTCCAGAACTGTCTTGTCTCCCTAGTATCTTCATTGGCTGTCTCGAGGCCACCCCAGGGGTTACAGCAACTCTCCAATCCTGTTGCAAGGTTGGGCACACAGTAAGGACTTACGGAGACCAGTCGCCCTCTCTGAGCTTGGCTCTGGGAGCCTCTCTGCATCACTCGCCCTTATGCCTCTGTTCAGGTGCAAGTTGCTTTCTCCCACCACTTATGGGTTACTTGTTCCTGGAAAACCATCCTTGGTGGTCTCTGTTCTCCTTAACTTAGTCTTCACTCTTTCTGCTTGCCTGGGAAACAATTGGGGTACCACTGCTGTCTGGTCACCCACTTGGTTTGCTGTGGCCCAAGCTATGTGTCCTTCTGTCCACAGTCCCTGAGGCGGAGGACAGTATCATTGGCAGGCACACCGTGGCCATCCCCTGCCAGCCCCTACCTCACCATTGACCTCACAGATGATGATGTGGTACCCCAGAGCAGCAGTACTCCCTACGCCCGCCTGGCCCAGGACAGCCAGCAGGAGAGCACAGAGTCCCTGCAGGTGGATGTAGAGGGTAGAGATGCAGACAGCACCGAGTATCAGGTACCACTTGGAAGGGCTTGAATAAAGAGAAAAGCAAACACAGTTACTATTACTATGATTTTTGTCACTTTTATTATAATATTTGAATTTATTCTCCATATACATTTCTGCATAAAACATAGTTCTTCCTTTACCCTACTTACCTCCCAGACAAAATTCAAGCACCTGATTACTGATATTTTTGAACATTACATATTTATACTATACATATGATTGTAGACTGGCTTTTTTCACTCAGTAGGAACTAGAGGCACCTCACTTTCATGTCTATAATCATTGCATTGTATTATCATCTGGTGTTTTGTTCCCAATTATGTCTAAGAACATAAGGCAAAATGACAGATGAAAAACATGAGAGAAAAAATTGAGACAGGTAATATTTATTAAAATATCTTAAATAAAGTGTATAGAAACAAGTAAGACAAATTGTTGAAGTTGTAACAGATTCACATCTTCAGGTTTGAAAGGGGCTACAAAGTCAAGGTGTATTAATTCATTTGTTTTTCAACAAATATTTGTTGAGCTCAGTTTATTCAGAATTTTGTGGCTATGGAAATGAGTGCCAAAAAGAAGCACCCATTGAGGTGGTTTGTGTCACTTGAGTACTGCTACATATGTAAGTACATATACGGTGCAGAAACCCTCTCTTCTGTGTACAGCAGATTATGTATATGTTAATAACTTGATTGTCCTCATGACATCTCATTTCATGGCAAGCTTATTATGCAAATGTCCAAACTTTTAAAAATATTTTGATGGCTTTCTAATAGCCCATTTGATGGCCTGTGGTGGGAATATATACAGGTAATTGCTATTAGTTTACTCTAATCTTATTTCCTGTGAGCTTCTAGTTGATAGTTTTCATTCCCACATCCTAAGTTAAATGTTACAGATCTGATACAGTACACCCATGTTCCTGCCAAACGGCCAAACAGTTAAGCCTGCCCCACCCCCTGGCCCATATCTTCAAGTCATTCTCACTCATGTTTTTTCAACCATGAAATATCAGGAGTGGATAATAACTTCCTGAGGAGCTGTGCTGGGCACTTGCAAACAGCTCTGAGTTGGACCCTGAGGCAGTTGTTGTTGGGGTCAGTAAGGCGGGCAGGATTTCTCCTTGGTCCAGGTGGTCTGGCTCATTGGGATTCCGTCATATGTTTTTTTCTTCCAGGATGGGAAGGAGTTTGGAATAGGGGACCTCGTGTGGGGCAAAATCAAGGGCTTCTCCTGGTGGCCTGCCATGGTAGTGTCCTGGAAGGCCACCTCCAAGCGCCAGGCCATGTCCGGCATGCGGTGGGTCCAGTGGTTTGGTGATGGCAAGTTCTCAGAGGTGAGTCCAGGGTATAGCAGTCTCTCCTGGGCCAGCAGATCAGCAATGCTTTCCTTCCCCTCCTTTTACAGTTGCCTTGTAAGATAATGGCCTGTGACTGCTGCTTGTAGGTGGATGAGGCCATGATTGACTCTGTGTACCCGGGATCTTGTGGGTCCCATAGCTCAGTCTACTCTTACAGGAGACAAAAAGCTGGAAAGCCCTCTGGATCCATGGCCACAGTGCTCTTTTGGTTTTATTTCTCTGGGGCATAGTCACCTGTATGAATTCTAAGGGGTCTTGAATGGCCACCTGGGCAGACAAAGCTCTTCAGTGAAAAGTCTGGAAGAGTGAAAGAGAGAGAAAGGGTGGTCTCTGCCTCTGGGTTTCATTTAGCCCTGGAGAGGTGTGGGGGGTGAGGGGCATCCCCTGCTGGCCATAGAGATTGGTCTACTGTCGCCTGGTTAAGTTCTTTGCAGAGTGGTGATTTCAGTTTCTTGGTTATTCATTTAAGTCATTATCATTCACCAGGTGATAATTTGCTGGCTAAGAGCTTGTGCTGGGCATGTATTAGACTGTTTAGGTGGGGTCTCTCCTGGTTTTGATTGGAATGGAGTAGACAGAACTTTGCCTGTGATGGTCTCTTTTGGAAATGTTAGTCCAACCCTCAACATGTCCAGAGGTCAGGTGAGGAACAGCAGAGCAAGCTGGGCTGGGATAGAGGCAGGTGTGGGACTGAAGGATCATCTTGTACATGTGTGGCATTTGGTCTCAAGTTGAGGTTTTGGTTTTCCCCTGATTTGGGCTTCCCCAGGGCCATTTGTCATAAACACTGAGATTCCCTAAAGGACCAGAATAATATGTCCTGGAGTCTGCCTGGTAGGGGAATAGTCTGTATGCAGATGCTCTCTTTGGCCAGTGGAGGGAGCAGAAGGACCAATGTCCGGAGCATCTAATTGCAGGGATGTGGGCAGTGACTTCTGTGAAATGAAAAAGCATGGGTTGTTTGCAATTGCTTTGGCCCTGTTAGAAATAAACTGTGCTTTCCAGAACTGGGTCCGATGCTAATAAGATGAGGTGTGGAGCTGCTAGCATTATGGGATGGAATTACAGTGTGTGGCCTGGTGCTTAGGCTGCATTCTTCATTGGAGTGATTTGGAGCTGGAAACAGCTCCAGCATTTCAGTGCATGACCATGTTGAGCCCCAGTTTTTTCTCACAAATGGTGGTAACACCCCTCATGGGAGGTCAGGCTGAGAGGTGCAAAATGGAGGTTAGCAGATGCAAGCAGGCACCATGGACAATGAACTGTCATGTGACTTTCTATTCTGAGCAGCATCTCTGAACACCCAGTTTCATTACTTTCCACTGGCAACCTGATTAGTTCACGCATGGCCTGGGGACGTGGGGTATGAGACTGGTAGCATATGGATATTTAGCTACAGCGGCAGGCACCTGTCAACAGATCATGAGAAATAAAAATGCTTACTCCGTGCCAAGTACTAGTTTCTAAACATGTTAAATTGTCAATTAATAAAAGGCTAAATAGTGAAGTAACCACAACTGCTATTGGTCAGGCTTACGAAGAAGGAATGAAGATGTTCAGAACCTCTAGCGTTGGAGCATTTACCACGAATTTCAAGACTGAGCTGCAAGGGGCCCACACCAGGAAACCTGTGGGTCATTTGCTCTCAAAATACACAGTACAGGGAGCATTTTCTGTATGCACTCAGAGTATCATACTTTGTCATACTTGAAGTGTCATGTCCACCTTGCCTCTGGCTATAGGTGGCATCAGGAGTCTATATACCATTTATACTTTCTGCTTTTCTGTTTCTTCTCTCTTCTTTTGAATCTGTGAACTTGATCCCTGGGAATAACCCTGTGAAAGACACAGGCTGTAGGTGGATGTTGATGCTGGTTTTCTCTTCCAGGTCTCAGCGGATAAACTGGTGGCCCTGGGGCTGTTCAGCCAGCACTTTAACCTGGCGACCTTCAATAAGCTGGTCTCTTACAGGAAGGCCATGTACCATGTACTGGAGGTAACAAACACAGTAGTGGGTGGTAAAGACCTGGCCCCAAGAACAGAGTTAAGCAGAGAGACATACAGAAAGCCAGCTGAAGCCACAGTGTGGGTGAGGATGGCTTAGACAGGATAGGGCAACAAGGGAGGAAGTGACTACAAACCTGACAGTAGTCTGTTGGGCCTGACTGGAAAGGGTGACAGAAGGGGTTTGAGACTTCCCCATGTACCCCAGTATCCAGCTGGTGGTGTTAAATGAGGAAGGGGGACCCTGGAGGTAGGACCCCAGTGGATAAGCTTTTCAGGGGCCTTCACAGCCTCCTTCCTTTGAGTAGTGGTGTGGTTCAGGGCCAAGACTGGGCAGCATCTGAGTCCGGCTGCCTCTTCCCCTTGTCTGAGATCAGGCTCCATCCCTCCCTCCACCTTGACTTGCAACTGAAAAGGTCAGTGGCCTTTGTCCAGCATTTATGAGCCAGATTCTGTGCTTAGATATGTAAATCCTCATGGTGCTTCTGAGATAAGACTTAACACTGACACCTGTACATTTTCTTTAGTGGAAATAAAACAAGAAATGTGGAGCTTTCACTGGCGAGGAGATAATACTGTCTGATGCTTCCTCTATCTTTAGTGGCAGGGCTAATTCCGATCTTCTTTCCTTTGAGAAGGAAGGAACTGACCACTTGAGGTCCCTACGGAAAGAGGTATTTGGGGCCTACATGAAAGGACTTGAACTCTCCATGGCCTCCTTCCTATCTCCCTGCACAGGCCCCTCCTTCTGTCACATGCCACAGCTCAGGACAGCTGCCGGCAATGAAAGGGACCAGTGTGAAGGGGAATGCAGGCCCCTGTTGGGGGAATCCTTGGGTATAGCCTAGCAAGATCCTGTGATCTGTTCATCATAGATTCAACTTTATCTCGGCAGAAAGCCAGGGTGCGAGCTGGCAAGATCTTCCCCAGCAGCCCTGGAGACTCGTTGGAAGACCAGCTGAAGCCAATGTTGGAGTGGGCCCACGGGGGCTTTAAGCCCACCGGGATTGAGGGCCTCAAACCCAACAATAAGCGACAAGGTGGGAATGGGTCACTGTGAGCACCTACTGCCACTGCTGGTGGGAGTGCCCTTGGGAGGTATCATCCCGTCTGTTCCACACCCACCCTGGCTTTCCAGCAGCCACTTAGCCTGGGGCTCTTCAACCCTATGAACCCTCAGGGCTATGGAAAAACAAACAGCCCAGCCTTTTCTGGCTTCCCTGGTCACTTTACTGCTGAAGGTCAAGTACATATAATTGGGATTGAATCTGTTCTAAACTTGAGTAAACAAGGTCAAAATGGACTCTTCACTAGCACCTTTTCTGTAAAAGAAAACAATAATTAAGGTCTGCTACTGGTTTAAAAAATAACAGATCCAAAAAACCCGTAAACTACTCCATTCAAAAGACATCACCTATTGGAACATTTTGACCAATACCATAATCTCCTCCATTACAAGATAAGTGTGGTTTCACGTTATCATCTCAGGAGATCTGGGATGCCTGAAGTTCAAGATTTGCTTCCAGTCTGTACATTTAACATAGTTTTTTCTGTTTTGTTTTGTTTCCCCTCCAAAAAAAGTGGTTAATAAGTCGAAGGTGCGTCGTGCAGGCAGTGGGAACTTAGAATCAAGGAAATACGGTATTCCCTTTGGGTCTTTTGACTATGCACTCATTTCTCTGCACTTCCTTTCAATTACTTTGCATATATAGTGGTCACTGGAAAAGAATCGAATCTGTAAAAAGTCAACCTGAACTTTGACCCACCCCTTCACTCCCAACCCTCACACTGCCCTCCAGGTTAACATTGTTGGGTGTGCACATCCTTCCAGCCTTTTCTGTACACTAGTTGGGTTCCTGCTTGCTTTTTATTTCTCAGCATTAATTGTATAAGCACTGTCAAATGTCATTTTGTCACTGAATGGTCCTTATGATTTCTAATGGCTGCATAGTTTTCTTCCCTAGGGACAAAGTTAAATTTAACCATGTCCCTTATAGATTATACCTATAGACTGAATAAAAATATAAATGAGATTTGTAGAAATAAAAACACTAGCCATGTAATATAATTAAAATTTTTTCTAGTATCACACACTGAGAAGAGTAAAGCACTTAATTTAATCCAGTATTTTCCAACACATGTTCCCAGTGGTCAGTATAAAAAAATTTTTATTTCCTTTTAGTATTGTTTTCAAAATCTGATATTTTACATGCCTTACGACATCTTAATTTAGATGCTAAGTTTTCATTAGGAATACTTGATTTGTCCAAATTTTTCAATATTTTCACATGTCCAGGGTATTCCAAATGTACTAGTTGATTGGATCAATTAACAGTTTAAAAATTTATATTAAAGTTAAATGTAAAATGCAATTCAGACACAAGTCACATTTCAAATGCTCTGGAGCTACATGTGGTATCAGCTAGCATTAGGCATCACAGACAGGCAGGTTATCAGGGTTTCAGCTGTGCACTGAACCTTGTCTGACTGTATTGTGCTGGGCCTACAAGGATGTATTCTTTTGCACCTGGAGCTGTTTAAAACCCTATAAACGTGTTAGGTATGTGAGGGGTTTTGGGTTCTGTTCTCATTTGAGTTGCCCATAGAGGCTCCATACGATATCCAGTGTGGGCCCATGCTATGCCACAGATGAAGCTGACGCTAGGCAGAGCACGGTCCTGTCCTAGGCTCGTGTTCTCCTTGCTCCCTCCTCCTACCCAGTCACGGCTGTCATCTCCTTACCTTCCACAGAGAACAAAACCCGAAGGCGCACAGCTGATGACTCAGCCACCTCTGACTACTGCCCCCAACCCAAGCGCCTCAAGACAAATTGCTATAACAATGGCAAAGACCGAGGAGAGGAGGACCAGAGTCGAGGTGATTGTGGGGAGCGAGGAGGCTGGGGGTCTGTTATCACCGGTTATCAGGAGGAGTGGCTGGGTGGTGAGCACTACGCAAGGGAGTATGGTTTAGTTGAGCAGTAAGGCTCCTGACCCCATCTGACCTTCTTTTTCCCAACAGAGCAAATGGCTTTGGATGTTACCAACAATAAGAGTAACTTGGAAGGTAATGCTCTCCCCATGGGGCCCACCCCCTCATCCTATGTAGTACTCAAGGCCTGCCATACCCTGCTTGTCTGTCCTGCCAGGGCAAAACCCAGAGCACTGTGCCTGGACCTCGGGCTGAGGGGTGGACATCTCAGTTGTTACATTTTATAGGATAAGTTGCCTGATTTTAAGAGAGACAGATTCTGCCCCTAAGATAAGTGTCAAGTCAGATTGGGGCAGAATGGAAATGAGGGCATCGTGGCCAGAGAACCCAAAACCTGATGCTGTGATCTGTGACATCTTGAGCCTTCCCAAACAAGAACTGAAACTGGCTTTGAGGTGAAGGGCAGACGTACTTTGCTACTGTCAAGCTTTCAAGCTAAGTCTGGGCCATTTGTCCCATCTGGGATTGCCACTGGAATTGAGACTGTACCCTGAATGTATCTAATGGAATTCAGAATGTGTGAGGAAGGAGTGACCCCTTGATTCCTCAGCCTGATGTCCTTTTAGTCAACAAATACTGAGTGGTTACTCAATCCTGGGTAGGAAAACAACATAGCTCCTGACCCAGAGAACCCTGGGGAAAGCTTGGGTTTGGAGCAGTCTCTGATAATCCTGGGACCCTTGACCCATAATTCTCTCATTCCCCAGGGTGCCTTCACCTATTAGTCTGCCTGGCTGGGCTCTCAAAGGCCCTCCTTTACTTGGTCAGTGGTGTGGATCAGTCCTGCTGATCCTGCTGATATGGCGGGAAGGCAGGGTTCTGACATTACAGCCTGTGTATAGGGTTGGTTATGGGCAAGTCCTATCTTGGTGAGACAACAAGCAGATTGGTGGCGGAACCAATTTCTCGAAGCCCCAATCTTTAAAGAGTCTCAAAGATACTCATATAGGCTCTCTGGGCACGCTGCTCTGCTAGAGTGGCCCTTGCTCAGTGTTTGCCCCACATCTTCCTTCTGGGTCACACGCCTTTGGCTGCCTTACGGGACCTTCCACTTGGAGCTGTTGTACTAGCCTTTCTCCATCTCTACAACTGTGAAGCATGGTGGAAAGGAGCAAAGCATGAAATCCTTGGCATATCACTAGCTTGGAGTAAATATCCAGGAACAGTCAGACCCAAGGCGTGGTAGCTGGTGTTGGGACCGTAATTGCCACAAGCAGCATTCCTGTGTCTCTTACAGATAGCTGTTTGTCCTGTGGTAGGAAAAACCCCGTGTCTTTCCACCCTCTCTTTGAGGGTGGCCTCTGCCAGACGTGCCGGGTAAGTCCTACCCCCCATCTGGGACTTTCCTGCCCCTTCCCTCTTCTACAACTCCCTGTACTTCCCCAGAATAAAGCACCTGTGTGTAGGCATTAGGGAAGGCTGTAGGAAAGCCCTCCTGGGGGGCCAGCAGCCCCACCCTCCACTCTGAGGGGTGGGTGCTGCAGCAGAGCAGCCCATATCTGTAGTGGCATGCAGTTGTTCCTGGAAAGGGCCCCAAGCCACCAGTGACCTGTTCTGTGGCTGCGTCCTAGGGCCTCAGCCATCCAGCAAGCAGGGCCTGGTGGTCCCTGGTCTCCAATTTCACGGGCGTTTCTCTCTGGCTGCCAGGACCGGTTCCTCGAGCTGTTCTACATGTATGACGATGATGGCTATCAGTCTTACTGCACCGTGTGCTGCGAGGGCCGCGAGCTGCTGCTCTGCAGCAACACAAGCTGCTGCCGGTAAGCTCTGAGCCTTGGGCAGGGCCTGTGGCCCAAATCCCCTCGTGGGACTGCGAGCCAGACTGAGTCTGGGGCAGTGCCTATAGTCTGTACTCAGCAGGGGCCATGGTTCTCAGGTCCTTGATGTAGGGTTGTGCTTAGGAGGTTATGTCTGTGAGGTGGGGAGTAGGGTGGGAAAGGCTCCCTGGAGATCAGCCAGTTTGTGGGGGGGTTGGAGAGCTTTTCAGTGCAAAGAGCATGGGGACTGAGGGTGCTTGGGGATTTAAGGAAAAAGTAGTGTACCCGAATGAGGAAGGACACAGGCCTTCAGCCCCTAGGGAGGAGCAACTGGGGGCCCCAAAAAGGCTTCAGGCAGTGTGGTGCCTTCTCCCAGGGAGAGGGGCTTACACAGGCAAGCTGCCTGATGGCTGAGGTGCCCCTTCTCCCCTGCTGCTGGGCACAGGTGCTTCTGTGTGGAGTGCCTGGAGGTGCTGGTGGGAGCAGGCACGGCAGCCGATGCAAAGCTGCAGGAGCCCTGGAGCTGCTACATGTGCCTCCCGCAGCGCTGTCATGGAGTCCTGCGGCGCAGGAAGGACTGGAATGTGCGCCTGCAGGCCTTCTTCACCAGTGACATGGGGCTCGAATATGTAAGCCACAGGCCCCTTCCCCCAGCACCATCTACCCCCAGAGCTTCAAGGGTCTGGAATGCTCTGGTAGTCTATTGGCAAGAGTTGATGGAAATAAAGCTCCATTATACAAATGAGCATCTGAGAGCCTCCAACTTCAGAGCCCTGGCTAAATGGCATGTCTTCCGTACAGTTCTCAGGTTCTCCAGTGCTCTCTCCCCACCTCGTCGCTCTCTCATTCTGTGGATTTTCAAGGACCTGCTGAAGAAAGAGTTACAGAACCAACCCAGCCCCAATCTTAGTAGAACTGAAGGGAGAAGGGAACTGTGGCTGATGTAACTCCTGCATCTTAGTGGGAGTGGATTGTCCTGGGCTCCATTCTGCAGTTCACTGTGGGAGGCTCCAGATCATTCCCACATAGAGTAACGTGTCTTTGTGTGTGTACATGGGTATCAGTCCCATCTGTTCCATGTCCAAGGATAGAACGGCCATTCTAGACAAAAGCTCCTCAGGGGATCCCAGTGAGGAAATGGCAGAGTGCAGGGTTTGTGCCCTCCCACGCCCCAGGAAGGTCAGCCCTCTCTTCCCTCAGATGATGAGTCTTCCCCCTGTGCCTTGACCTCCCTGACCTCTTCTTTAATGTTGCAGGAAGCCCCCAAGTTATACCCTGCAATTCCTGCAGCTCGAAGGCGGCCCATTCGGGTTTTGTCCCTGTTTGATGGAATTGCAACAGGTGAGTTTGTGGTTCGCCTAGGGATGCTCACCTGGCCCAGGTGTGTGTCGTCAATGCCAAGAAACACCCCTGGGATTATCTGTTATTACTTGTTCTGAGAAAACTACTGGTTCCCAGTTTCTCTCCCCATACCTCTCCACTTGGGTCCTTTGTAAAGGCATATATGTCTTAGCTGTTGCATTATTTTTGTCACATCTTGGAAAATTATCTTCTATTCTGTAAGCATAGATATATTGAGATTAACTAGGCAGCTCCTCCTACTAATATCACCAGTCTTGGTTCCTTCCCATTCCCACAGGTTTCCCCCGTGTATAGAATAAGCCTAACTAACATGCATGTTGCCCCAGGGGGCTTTGTCTGATTTAAGTCATCTAATCCTTAAAACTGCCTTGTGATATGTTTGTTAGGGATGTATGTTTCACCAAAGCAGGAAGCAATGGATATGAGCTATTGTACATTTAGCATCATTTGTACTTAATGTGTACACTGGTGTCTACGTGCCTAAAGCATTGACAGCTTTTAATGACTCCCTGGTGGTTTGCTAACAGCTTGCTTTTCCCACTCTGCTGGGTCTTAAGACCTGTTTGTGTTGGCACAGATAACCTGCAGTAGGACTAAGCCTAGGCCGTTGCCACCGGACCATGAGTTCTTTTCTAAATATGGTTTTGGCAAAGATCCCTGTCCGTGTGTCTGTTTTAACTATCCTGGGGTGGTAGGTGCTGGGGAATCAGTAATGCTCCCGTCAGCTTTAATAGGTCCTGCCAGTGGGCTGCCGTACTCAACTACACATACACAGTGTCTTGAAGAAACTGTAATCCAGAGAGCCTGGTATGGCCCTGTGTGCTGTTTCTGTGCCATCTGCACAAGTTTGCTTGAGGACCATCCTGTCCTTGCTGGGTCTGCTCTGAGCTCTGGAGATGGCTTAGAATCATGGGAGGGAAGGGCCCTGGGCAGGACAACCCTGATGCATTTTCTGTCCCCCCATGGTCCCCACAGGATACTTGGTCCTCAAAGAATTGGGCATCAAAGTGGAGAAGTACATTGCCTCTGAAGTATGTGAAGAGTCCATTGCTGTCGGAACTGTTAAGCATGAAGGCAATATCAAATATGTGAATGACGTCAGGAACATCACAAAGAGAAATGTGAGGGCATTCTGCACCCCTCGGGGGCTCTGCAGCACCCTCTCTTCCTCTTCCACTCCCCACGTCCCACACATCTCACAGCCATGTCTTCACCTTCCTCATGGCCAGAGTCATCGGAGAAGGGAACCTGAGGTTATATCAAGCTGTTGTGCCAAGACCCACAACTTGGAAACTATGCAAATGATTTGGATCTTAGGGAATCCTGAGCATGAGGTTTTCTTGGATTAGATGTGGAGTTGGGGGACTTATGTGACCGACCAAGTGGGTTTTCTTGACAGGTTATCTTGAACACAGGCTACCCTTCCCTTCATCCTTAACACCATGCCTCTCCTAAGCATGCCTATTTTTCTTGCAGATTGAAGAATGGGGCCCCTTTGACTTGGTGATTGGTGGAAGCCCATGCAATGATCTCTCAAATGTGAACCCTGCCAGGAAAGGCCTGTATGGTGAGCATCTTGTCTTTTTGGTGGCTCCAAAAGACTAAGTCACCTGAGTGCTGGTCCAGGAGGAGTGACCTGAGAAGGAGCTGTTTGCTTCTGACTAACATTACCTGCCAGCTCTGTACATGCCCCATCATGATCCTCAGTCCCCAAAGATGCTAAGAAGTGTTGCCCTGTGGTTGCCTGTGTCCCCAGTCATTCAAGGACTATAGGTAGAGGGATGTAGGGTGTCAGTCTCAGTAGAGTGTTCTTTGGGAACCTTTTGATCTCAATGTGTAGGGGTGGGCTGAAGGTTGTGAACCTGGTTCAGCTGTCTTCTTTTGGGGGCTTAGAGGGCACAGGCCGGCTCTTCTTTGAGTTCTACCACCTGCTGAATTACACACGCCCCAAGGAGGGTGATGAAAGGCCCTTCTTCTGGATGTTTGAGAATGTGGTAGCCATGAAAGTTGGTGACAAGAGGGACATCTCTCGGTTCCTGGAGGTGAGTCCTGATTGTCAAGACAACATGGGTGGGGACTTGACCTCCCTGACCTCTTCTTTAATGTTGCAGGAAGCCCCCAAGTTATACCCTGCAATTCCTGCAGCTCGAAGGCGGCCCATTCGGGTTTTGTCCCTGTTTGATGGAATTGCAACAGGTGAGTTTGTGGTTCGCCTAGGGATGCTCACCTGGCCCAGGTGTGTGTCGTCAATGCCAAGAAACACCCCTGGGATTATCTGTTATTACTTGTTCTGAGAAAACTACTGGTTCCCAGTTTCTCTCCCCATACCTCTCCACTTGGGTCCTTTGTAAAGGCATATATGTCTTAGCTGTTGCATTATTTTTGTCACATCTTGGAAAATTATCTTCTATTCTGTAAGCATAGATATATTGAGATTAACTAGGCAGCTCCTCCTACTAATATCACCAGTCTTGGTTCCTTCCCATTCCCACAGGTTTCCCCCGTGTATAGAATAAGCCTAACTAACATGCATGTTGCCCCAGGGGGCTTTGTCTGATTTAAGTCATCTAATCCTTAAAACTGCCTTGTGATATGTTTGTTAGGGATGTATGTTTCACCAAAGCAGGAAGCAATGGATATGAGCTATTGTACATTTAGCATCATTTGTACTTAATGTGTACACTGGTGTCTACGTGCCTAAAGCATTGACAGCTTTTAATGACTCCCTGGTGGTTTGCTAACAGCTTGCTTTTCCCACTCTGCTGGGTCTTAAGACCTGTTTGTGTTGGCACAGATAACCTGCAGTAGGACTAAGCCTAGGCCGTTGCCACCGGACCATGAGTTCTTTTCTAAATATGGTTTTGGCAAAGATCCCTGTCCGTGTGTCTGTTTTAACTATCCTGGGGTGGTAGGTGCTGGGGAATCAGTAATGCTCCCGTCAGCTTTAATAGGTCCTGCCAGTGGGCTGCCGTACTCAACTACACATACACAGTGTCTTGAAGAAACTGTAATCCAGAGAGCCTGGTATGGCCCTGTGTGCTGTTTCTGTGCCATCTGCACAAGTTTGCTTGAGGACCATCCTGTCCTTGCTGGGTCTGCTCTGAGCTCTGGAGATGGCTTAGAATCATGGGAGGGAAGGGCCCTGGGCAGGACAACCCTGATGCATTTTCTGTCCCCCCATGGTCCCCACAGGATACTTGGTCCTCAAAGAATTGGGCATCAAAGTGGAGAAGTACATTGCCTCTGAAGTATGTGAAGAGTCCATTGCTGTCGGAACTGTTAAGCATGAAGGCAATATCAAATATGTGAATGACGTCAGGAACATCACAAAGAGAAATGTGAGGGCATTCTGCACCCCTCGGGGGCTCTGCAGCACCCTCTCTTCCTCTTCCACTCCCCACGTCCCACACATCTCACAGCCATGTCTTCACCTTCCTCATGGCCAGAGTCATCGGAGAAGGGAACCTGAGGTTATATCAAGCTGTTGTGCCAAGACCCACAACTTGGAAACTATGCAAATGATTTGGATCTTAGGGAATCCTGAGCATGAGGTTTTCTTGGATTAGATGTGGAGTTGGGGGACTTATGTGACCGACCAAGTGGGTTTTCTTGACAGGTTATCTTGAACACAGGCTACCGTTCCCTTCATCCTTAACACCATGCCTCTCCTAAGCATGCCTATTTTTCTTGCAGATTGAAGAATGGGGCCCCTTTGACTTGGTGATTGGTGGAAGCCCATGCAATGATCTCTCAAATGTGAACCCTGCCAGGAAAGGCCTGTATGGTGAGCATCTTGTCTTTTTGGTGGCTCCAAAAGACTAAGTCACCTGAGTGCTGGTCCAGGAGGAGTGACCTGAGAAGGAGCTGTTTGCTTCTGACTAACATTACCTGCCAGCTCTGTACATGCCCCATCATGATCCTCAGTCCCCAAAGATGCTAAGAAGTGTTGCCCTGTGGTTGCCTGTGTCCCCAGTCATTCAAGGACTATAGGTAGAGGGATGTAGGGTGTCAGTCTCAGTAGAGTGTTCTTTGGGAACCTTTTGATCTCAATGTGTAGGGGTGGGCTGAAGGTTGTGAACCTGGTTCAGCTGTCTTCTTTTGGGGGCTTAGAGGGCACAGGCCGGCTCTTCTTTGAGTTCTACCACCTGCTGAATTACACACGCCCCAAGGAGGGTGATGAAAGGCCCTTCTTCTGGATGTTTGAGAATGTGGTAGCCATGAAAGTTGGTGACAAGAGGGACATCTCTCGGTTCCTGGAGGTGAGTCCTGATTGTCAAGACAACATGGGTGGGGAAGGCCCTGCTGGTAATGGGTTTGTGGGTGTTTCCAATGTTGAGAATGATTTTTGGGTTCCTGATGGAGGGGGGGCATGGCCAGATCCAAGAGTGATAGAATCAAGTGGACTGTTTTTCTTTAGTACACGAAAAATATTTGACCTCTAACCTGCCCCCAAACCCCACTGAAGTCAGATGATGAAACCATCACCAATGTTTAGAGGCCTCATGAGATGTGACTAAACTTTTTTTACTCTAGGGAGTTTTTTTCTCATCCTTTTTCTAAGAACTGCTGCTTTAGGGCCATAGGCAAGTTAATTATCCACTGCTAAATATGCATCAAGCATTGTAGTAAATACTTTTTATATACTTAACTCATTTCTCCTAAAACTTTAAAGCATAAGGTTCTGCTAGACAAGTTTTAGAACTGGCTAGTCGGTCTTTTATCATGCTGTGTGAACTCGACAGATGGGTTCCACATGCCATCTTTTGCTAACACTGCATTTCTACAACCAGTACCTCAACTTGCCAGCTTTCCAATTTTGAACTGCTTTACCACCTGTATATAGCACATTCTATAATAATCTGTCACACAGAAGCAGCAAGTCCAGTCTGGTCTCTTTATCCGTCATCAATGTGGGGACACTAGCTATATCCTCCAGCCAGATCCTTATGGGACTGTAGCAGCCTGGCAGGAACCATGCCTCCTCCACAGCAAGGGGACAGGCCCTGTCAATTGCCCAGATCAAGCCCCACTGGCTGCCACCTGAATTCTGATGTGGGCTCTCAGCAGCTGTTTTTCTTTCTCCCCACAGTGTAATCCAGTGATGATAGATGCCATCAAAGTGTCCGCTGCTCACAGAGCCCGATACTTCTGGGGCAACCTACCTGGGATGAACAGGTAACAAGGGGCTCCAAGTGGGACAGGTAACAGCCAGATTAAATACAACTAATAATGTAAGCTCTATCTGTGAACTCTTATAAGAAAGACACATATTGGAACCTTCTAGAAAGAGCTGGACCTACTGAGAAATGGCCCCATCTGGGCTTCAGACCCATCTCTGGTGTTATGGTTGAAGCCTCTTAGGATGTACAGCAGCCATCTGGGAATCTCAGGCTGGGATCCCTCAGGGTAGGGAGTGCAGGTTCCTGCCCTGCCCATGGCCTGATTCTTGGAAGTGTGGTGTGCTGGAGCACTGTTTCTTCTTCCCAGCCAGTGGTACTAATACATGTGCATTCCACCTCTTCTCCCAGTTGCTGCCCCACTGGGAAATGGAAGTGAATTGTTTATATTTTCTCCCTGCCCCTGAGATGACGTGAACTTTGGGCCAGGCCTGTGGTATGCCCAGTCAGGTGGCAGAGCTAACAGTTGGTAGCCCAGAACCCATCTCCTCCAGATTCTGTCAACCAAGAACTTTCCCCAGCTTTTTGTCAGTTCTTTGATTTTGAAAGCCATAAAGCAAGTGGCTTTGCTGAGGATTAATTATCTGCTGTATGTGGTTTCAGGGAGAGCAACCTGCTAATTAAGGTATGAAATGTGATGATAATACATCCTCCCAGACTTGCAAATGAGTTAAATTTATAAAAAGTCTCTTTTAGAAGGAAGTGTTGGAAGCATAATAACTTTTAGGCGTTTAGCAAAGTGTGGAGAGAAGTAAGGAAGTACTGGAATAGCTTGGAGGATTTCTGTCAGGTATCTTGTATTTTTATTTGGCTAATCAGTCAGTCAAATGGTGCAGTGTCCTTGTCTGGAGTGAAGTAGGCTGCACTCACTCAACACTCCGTGCCAGGCACTGCTGTATATGCTGCCAGTTAAGTGGCAAACACTTTCCACATCTGTCTTGGCTCTTGGAGTTGATGTGCTGATGGGGGAGAGGTAGAGAAGTCAGTAAATGATTCAGGTCATGGCTATAACGGGGTGGCATTGGAAGAGTTGATGGGCAGCCTTTTCATTCCAGCAGGACCCTAAATGAAGGAATGAAGCCATGCAGCTCTTTGAGGGAAAAGCATTCCAGGCAGGAGGAAGAGGCTAAGGGATGTCAGGTGACAGAACATTCTCAGACCAGCTTAGAGGACAATGTTCCAGGGGCAGAGAGTAGCTGGGACAGGAGGGAAGGGAACTCAGAAGTATGGGCCAAAGTCTGCGGGGCCTGTGTGTCATGGTATCACTTGACCTTTACTTTAGGTGGGTATTCACATGAGCTTTCAGGCAGATGAATTGTTTCATGGGTTCATGGTAGTTTGTGGTGGTAGAGCAGACTACAGCAGCATGAGGGCAGAAAAGGGAGACCAGCGAGGTGGTAGGTTATGCAGAGGAGGAGGGCTAGCTGATTGTTGTGCCCTGCGAGGTGTGCCTTCCACAGACACCACACAGGGTGAATGGTGGCTTGGGGTGTCCTGTGGAACTCCCACAGGAAGAATCAGACTCTAGATGATGTGAGGGTAGGGCTTGCAGACTTTGCTGACACACTAGGTGTAGGTAGGGTGTGAGATGAAAAGATGGTCAGCAGAGGCCCCACAGTTGCCTGTGTGGATTGTAATAAGAGCTGAGCAGCTCCATGTGGGCTCTGGGGGGCTCTTGGATGGGTGACTCCAGCATCTTCCAAGGGTATGGACCCAAACCTAGCCTTCAGATGAAAAACCTTGGTTATTTAGATATCAGTCCCAGAATAAATACAAGGTAGGGCTATGCTGTGTCCCCAAGGTCCCTCAACTCCCTTAGGTTCATGGAAATGTTGGTAACAGGGATAGGGTGGCATTGGGAACCTGGAAGTTGGTGAGGTCGAGGAAATCTCTGCCAGAATCTAGGGGAACACTATGTGTGACTCAGTGGCCCCTCCGTGGGCATCACATCCATTCCTATATCTGATATGTTTTTGGCCTTGAAGTTGCCCAGGGGTCGCTGTGGTGCTCATCAACTCTGTGCATTCGACCTCTTGCTGGTTTTCTGCTCTGGAACTGCTTAACTACTTCAGTTTCTAAAGTTCTGTTCCTTCCCCTTCTCAAGCATCTCCTCTGCCTCTGTTTTCAGGTTGTCTGAGGGGAAGTCATTGTTGAAGGCTAAGGGTGATCAGTTACTTGTGAATCACCCCTTGTCCTTCTGACCTGTACCCACTTAATAATCCTTAAAGTCCTTGTCCTTCTACCTGTACCTTTAAAAGTCTTTCAAGCCTGAGGCCACATCCCCAGCAGCAAGTCACCACGTCATGGGTTTGCTGTGCTGGTTGTAGCAGCAGATCCACAGAGAACTAACCCAAGCTCCTGAGCCCAGAGAGGAGGCATCACTTGCTCAAGGTCACTCACTCAGCCAGTGAGCCTTGGGGCTGGGATTGGAGGGTCTCCTGACTCCTCCCACTGTGCTTGCCGCTGTCCTGCTCTTCTCAGTGGGAGAGCTTTGACTGACTAATAACATTGGGGAAGGGGAGCATTTGCTCCTGGACATTGGCCTGCCTCCTCAAGAGGCTCGTCTGTCTTTGGCTTTGGCGCACAGGCTTGTGCTCATGCCAGGGTCATTTTTATTATGTATTTGTAGCAAGTTCACTGCCAGAGCACGTTTTGCAGCCTCGGGCCCTCACTCCCACCTTGGGAGGTGCCTAGCCGAGGCCTCTTTATAGTTGGTAGAAAGTAATGGGTTTTGGATGTTCCCAGGCCTGTGATAGCATCAAAGAATGATAAACTCGAGCTGCAGGACTGCCTGGAGTTCAATAGGACAGCAAAGGTAAGATGTGATCACAACCGGTCTGTGCCTCAGCCCTTGGGGAAACACACTTGGTGACCTCCAAGCGGGGACTTGACCTTGGTGTCCAGTTTGTTCTGTCCCTCCCCACACATGACTCCCTGGTGCTGGGCCTCTCTTTTCCCCATATAATTTGTTCTGTCCTATTTTCAAGAATAGGAGAGGTTCTTGATAAAACAAGTAATCACTTGTGAGAAAAGGCAAGTAGACTTTACAATTGTGAATGCGTACTCCATAGAGAAGATAATTTTAGCTCATCCTCCCAGTGAGAAATGCATGAGTATACTTTTGCCTCCAAGAAAAGAAAAGTGCTGTTAAGGCATTGATAATTATATTAAGACTTCTGTAAACTTAATTCCCAATGTTTACATCAACTAAATCCCATTCATTTAAACCCCATTTGACCATCCTCCTCTGTAACGTGGGTGGATTTTCCTTTGCTTAATCTTGCTTGTTTAATAACTGTGGTGTTTTTTTGGCCCCTGTGTGATCTCATTCATGGTCACGTTTTGTTTCTCTCTTGTTCTCTCTGAGGCTGGCCCTTCCTGTTCATTAACTTGGTGTTTGTGGGAAGCACAAAATGTTCTTGGCCTTCCAACTCCTCATGCCCTCTGTGAGCTCAGTTTTGCCACCCTTTCTCCTCTACCTGCCCTCCCTCCTCCATCTTCCCTAGGTGCTTCTGAGCCTTGACTCAACCCAGAACCCTTCTTTCTGTGCTCACTCTATGATGTCATTTTGTTCTCCAGTTAAAGAAAGTACAGACAATAACCACCAAGTCGAACTCGATCAAACAGGGGAAAAACCAACTTTTCCCTGTTGTCATGAATGGCAAAGAAGATGTTTTGTGGTGCACTGAGCTAGAAAGGTGAGCAAGGCTGCACATGGAGAGGGGAAATCATGCAGATAGAGAGAAAGGGGAAGAACATGTGGTTAAGACAAGCAGCACAAATGGGCAGGTGCTTGCCTTAATATATAGCCTCACTGCCCTATGTTGGTGGGACTGGGAATAGTATCTTTTTCAGAGTCTGTCCTTATTTTCTGCCAGAAATGGCAGAAGGGTGGTGGTGGTGAGGAATCTGAAACAATGAGGTCATCAGACAGCACCATCTGTCTATTTTGGCTTAGCTGTCCTGGCATTTGCCTGCCCCAACATGCTGGCACACCAGGATGTGCAAGGAACCAGCTCAAGAAAAGCCCACTGACATACCATTGCTCTGTCTCAGAAGATCCCTTCTGCCAAGTTGCTTGTTCCAAAGCTGATTCCTACTTAGCCACAGTCCGTCTTCTCCTCTTTCATTTATTTGGCTAAGTTGGTAGTTGATCTATATTGATTCAAAGAATGAGCTCTTAGATTTCAGCTCTCCTAGTTTCTTTTTTTTTTTTCTCTGCTCATTTGATTTTCCTGTTCATTTTATTCTTATTGTTAGAAATGCAGTAAGGTTTATGCCTGTTCCTCTTTGCATTTTTGACTTTGTCTCCGAGGAGTTGCTACACTATATATTTTCATTCCAGATAGTTTAGTTCTACAGCTGGTTTTATTTCTTCTTTGATGTAACAAGATTTTCCTAGTATAAAAGTTCTGATTAGTAGACAGCAACTGGTGGGTGACCTCATCCATTCATGTTGTGCATGATCCTGTATTTTGAGAACCACTGGACCTCTGATACTAGTGTTGGTGCTGGTGGCTGTCACTGTGTCTGCAGAGCAAGACACAGGCCTGAGGTGTTATATCTTTGGCAATTTTCTTAACCATTCAGCCATTGGCCTGTGGCCTGTTGGTGTGATTTTAGGATTATATTGTAAACCTGGGAAAGAATGAGGTCCAGTGTATCTGTATCCTTCGACCAGACCTGGTAGAACCCCATAAAGGAGACTCAGTATATTTGGTTGCCATATGCCATTAAGACCAGCCCGGCTCTTGACCCAGGGCTGGGTTTGAACAGGGAAAAAAAATGTAGGGGGACTTGATGTACTCATGGTAAATTACCTGAGCATGTGATGTTTGAAAATAAGGTCCATTTTTGTGAATGCCCTTATAAGGAAATGGCCTAACTTCCCTCATCTTGTGGTGTGAAGACAGATACATGTCTGTCTTGTGGCTGTCCGTCTCACCTGCCTGGCGTGCATTCACTGATTCATTTGGGAGAGGTCCTTTGAGCACCAAGTATGTGCCAGGCGCTCAGTGCTAGTGCTGGGGGATGCAGAAGGCATGTGGTCCTCATCCAGGGACCATGCCCTCAGGACCATTAGCGTTCTGGAGACCCGGTGGACGTGACTTCTGGGGGTTAAGAGAGGGCTCATGTGAGGGCCCAGTGGGTCTCCTGGAAAGGTTGGGACAAAGGGCAGAAAGAGGGGCACTGTGTTGGCGGAAGTGAGGATCTCCCAGAGGCCCTAAGCATGCTGGAGGGAGCACTTCTGACTCCCTGTCTTTTCACTCTGGTGCCCCTCCCCCCTCAGGATCTTCGGCTTTCCCGTACACTACACGGATGTGTCCAACATGGGCCGCGGTGCCCGCCAGAAGCTGCTTGGGAGGTCCTGGAGTGTGCCTGTCATCCGACACCTCTTCGCTCCCCTGAAGGACTACTTTGCCTGTGAATAGGCACCAGGCTTGCTGGGGCTTACAGGGCAGAGCCAGGACCCAGGAGGTGCAGCCCAGGCTCTGCCCTTACTCAGCTCAGCTGTGTGGGGTCCCACTGCATACCTCTGCGGGAGCAGAGAGCTGCCTGACCCCCGTCCCTGGCAGGGGGAGCCCAAGGTGTCACCTCCTTGTGCACAGTTCAGACCTGGTCGCTTGGAGCGGCCAAACATGGTGCTCATTTTGTCTTCTCCTAAAACTTTAAAACTTGAAGTAGGTAGTAAGATGGCTTTTTTTTCCCTCCTGGGTTTACCGCTCAGAGAAATGATGGCTAAGAAACCAAAACCACAGTGCCGACAGCCTTTCAATACTCAGGTTAATGCTGAAAAATCACCCAAAACAGTTACTGCAAGACTAATTTTTAAAAACGTCTATGGCTCCTTGTTTCCAGGAGTGTGCAGTAGAAGACAGGTAGCTAAGGGACGTTTTAAGGGCCCGAGAGTTTTTTCTAGGGCTAGCAGAAGAGAAAATGATGTCTATGTCTATCTTGAATTTTCCCTGGCACATTCCCCTGGCCTCCGTTACATATAAAGGGCTGGGATCTGCTGTCAGGGCCCATGTTAGAGAATTTTCCACAGTGGTGATGGTTTCAGCAGGGATGACATCATCATCGCGTTCAGGGCTATTTTTTCCCCACAGACCCAAGGGCAGGGCCACCCTTAGCTAAAATCCCTCCCAGTGACTGCAGTAGGACCCTTAGGGGAGCTCAGGAAGGGGTGGGCTGGGTTGTAAGCTGCCATAGGTTATGCAGACAGGTATGGCTTCTCACTGCCTCCCTCTTGCCTATGTGAAGGGAGTGAAGGAGGCGGCTTAGGTAAGACCCTCCCCACCTAAAAAAAAATGCAACCTCCAGACTACTCTGCAGGCGTGGGTCCCTGGATCCAAGCATGACTCCCTGATTCCTCAGCCTTTTTCTAATCTCAAGCTGTGGCAGCCGGGGGGCAGAAGCACATTTGCTGTTTTTTTCCCATCATCTAAGAGATGGCAGGGGAAAACTGCAATAAAAGCTCAATCCTCCCTCCAGAGATTTTAAAGTCCTTTTTTATTCCATGATGAGTCATTTTTAGGGGGGAATGGGAGGTCAGATAAGCTGCATTTCAGAAATGCTGTCGTAATGGTTTTTAACACCTTTTACTCTTCTTACTGGTGCTATTTTGTAGAAAAAAGGAGCAACTTTGACAGGTTTTATGGGAGTTTTTTTTTATACACTTTTTAAAAAATCTCAGACTTCTATTTTTATGTTTTAACATTTTCATAATTTTTGTTTTTGTAACTGGAGCCACATAACAAGTATGGGGAAAAAATTGTGCCTTGTTTCAACAGTTTTGCTGATTTTTAGGCTGAAAGATGACTGATGCCTAGAGTTTACCTTATTATGTTGAATTAAAATCAGTATTTGTCTATAACAGTCTGGTGTCCCTTTTTCTTTTTGCAGGTCAGATGGGTGGGGCATGGGAGGGCCTGAGTAAAATGGAAAGGTGAGTGGTTGAAATAGGTCATTTCTTCATTCAACAAGCACAGGGCAGGAATACCATGGTGACCCCAAGCCAACAAGGAGGTAATGGTCTAGTGCCCTCATCTCCAAACTCCAGGGTGTCAGCATCCCCTGGGAAGCTTGTTAAAGTGGAGATTTCTGGGCCCCATCTCCAGAGTTTGACTCATTAAGTCTAGAGTGGAGCCTAAGAATTGCATGGGGGTGGCTCAGGGACCACAGTGGGTTAGTGAGTGGGTTTCTAAACCTTGGTTCCCCAAACAAGTGACTGGAGCCTTTGAGTTCATTTAAAGGCCTGATGTCTGGAACAGCCATCTCTTGATCAGTTCTTGCAGCTCTTGGGTAGCTGGTCAAGATGATTAACGTTCTAAGGATCCCAGGGCTGATTCCCTCTGTTTCTCAAGCCTCTGTGGGATTCCCCTATACCTTGTTCATCCACTGCAACCACATTGTCATGTTGCTGTTCAGCCATATTCAGTGAGAACTTAGCCCCAGCAAGAGGACTGTTGGGAGAGGCCCTGTGACTCTAACCTAGCAGTCAGTGCCCTCAGCTCTTTGGATGGGGCTTGTGTACCTGTTGCTTTTTAAATTTAACATGCAACTCCTCTTCAGTAGTTACCTTAGAGTTTACCTGGGGCCACTCAGCCAGTATCCCAAGCCCAGTACCTATCATGTCATAATCCTCATGTCTCAGTACCTGTACAATTTGTTCAAGGGAAAAGGAGATAAAGATTTCAGTACATAACAAGCTGGTCCCAGGGATGCTAGTACAGCATGGAGAAGATAGCCAATGATTCTGTAGCATCTTCCCATGTTGACAGTAACTGCACTAGTTAGGGTGAGGATTTAATAATATGGGTAACTGTTGAACTTGTGTTGTATACTTGAAACCAATGTAAGATTGTTTATCACTTACACTTGAGGTTAATAGCTGGTGCATGCAGAGGGAGAAAGGTATGTGAAAGGGATGTACATATAGTGAATCATCAGTCAGACTCAGCACCTGTGTGAGCCTCTTTCTTCATATGTAAGATAGGTTGTAACTGTGGCCACCTCTATGATTATAGTTGTGCACCTTAAGGTCAAGTTCCTAAAGGGTCCAACTCAGAGTTGCAGTGGAGAATGAGGACCTATGTTCTGAAGTGCTGCTGGGCTAGAACAGCCCAAGTGCAAGTTGCCATGGTGAGAATTGGCAATTAGCAAGTCGGGTTGGCACTCCTCTCTCAGGTGTTGAGACCCCAGGGGCCTTGGCGGTCCTATTAAGCCATCTTGTGTACAGTGCTGCACCAAATACCAGGACAGGATGAAGCAAAATAAACAGCCCCAGTCTCAAAACCCTAAGAGAAGAGATGGACTAACCTTCCAGGTGAGGGGCCCTTGGGCATCTTTGCCAACTTGTGGGGTAAGGTTTGGGGGTGGCCATGGAGGGGCTGTGCAGGCAGTTTATTCAAGTTGGGGGCTGGTTCAGATGTGAGTGTTCCCAGGTTCGTAGACAAGGGGAGAATGCGACAAGCCTGATAAGGGGGAAAGGGCTGGAGGCTGAACTTTGCATCCCTTGCAGGCCGTTTCTGATGCTGGGTCCTCGTTGGCCCTGGGCTAAATCTGGGGTCTAGCGTGTTACTGGCTCACTTTGGGCAGGTGACTCTTGGAGTTTTCTTGGGGATCATAAGTCCTACCTACTGTGGGCTGCTATGGGCGTTGAAGGACTAGATCTGGGTAACGTTCTTTACCTGGTGCCTGGCATGCCGTAAACCCTCATGTATTGAATGGTATTGTGACAAGGAAAGCTATTGGTCAATACAGTGTTAATAACTGGGTGCCAGCAGTGATGGTAACATGCAGTGTTACTGTATTAGTAATAGTCTTAAAAAGGAAAGTTGGGTTAAAAACACCCTGGTATTGTATAGGAGCTGGGCTGATTGATACTAACTGTAGCAATGGCAGCATATCTGGTGTTTGTGTCTGTCACTGCCCCTCTGCATCATGTTGGGGTCCCCCTGATCCTGGTTAGGGAGAGTGGATATGAGTACCTTTAGCATCTGGTACCCCAGAGGCTTGTGGAAAGGATCTTGCCTGGGGAAACAGGGACCACCTTCTGGACAGTTCCATAGCTGTTTGGTACAGGGCTCAGCACCAGTCTCCCACCCTACTTCAGTTTCTGGTTTTCCAGCCACTGCTTTCCGAGTGATCCTCTGTTCCCGGCCTGTGCTTGGTCCTTGATTCTTCTGCAGCCAGTCTGGGTGCTCATATTAGCTTTATCTCCAGCTAACTTGTGACCTTACGTGTGTTTCGTAGTCTCTCTGCCTCTGCCTCAGTCCATTATGCCATGATTATAAGGGGACTGAGACTCTTAGAAGTCCAATAATACACCTAAGGCTACATATCCAGTGGCAAAGGAGTTGTGAGTTGGAATCTGTTCTGTGAAGCGAAAGTAGTGTTTCTCCTTGATCTCGCCTGCATCAATTTGTGTGTGTGTGTGTGTGTGTGTGTGTGTGTGTGTGTATGTTTTGATGGAGTTTGAAATTACCTGCTGCTGTTTGCAGTCTGGGGTACAATTTGCCTACCGTCCTTTCCTTACATTCTTCCAGCCTACCTTCCCTTCCTCCCTCCCTGTTTTCTTTCATTCCTTCTTTCTGTTTAACTTTATTGGTTTCTTACATTTAAAAAATTTTTTAAATAATTTCAGACTTAGAGAAAAGCTGCAAGCAGAGTACAAAGAGCTCCTAAATACCCTCACGCAAACCCACCAAATGTAACCATTTTGCCCTTTTTATTTTGTCATCTTTTCTCTATCTTAATATTACTTTTTTCTGGACCATTTGAGAGTGAGTTACAGACATGATGCCTCTCTTCCCTTAAAGTCCTTTAATGTGTATTTTTCCCAAACCAGAACATTCTCTTAAGTAACTTCAGTGCGTTTATCACAATCAAGAAGTAACCATCCCTTCACTTCTTTATGTAGTCTACAGACCTTATTTAGATTTTGCCAATTGCTCCAATAATGTCTATACAGAAGAAGAAAAATACATATTTTTTTCTGGCCTAGAATCCTTTCCAGAGCCACACATTGCACTTGGTTATTTTTGACTTTTAAAACTTCTAATTATGAAATTTATAAACAGCAGTGCATAAATGCTGGTGCTTCAGGCCTTATAAACTACCCGAGCTTTGGTTCAACCCTAAGGTCTCAGCATTACAGAAGGAAAACAGGTTGGCATTACTGGAGTTGGTGATTGTTTACTCTGAGTCTCTGTATGTGCTGTTCTCTGCCTGGAGCAGCCTTCTCCCTCCTTGCCAGACTGGTCCTCCAGTTCTCACCTCTTGCAGGAAGACTTTTTGCCCTCATTCTAGGCAGGATTAGAAGCTATAATCTGGCTCCTCTTTCCCTGTGAATGGATAGGAGAATCTATCTCAGCACAAAGCAGTCTATCATAATGTCTTACTTTTGTAGTCATCACTCCCATGAGCTTGTGAAGTCCTCAAGGCAGCTGGACCTCCCAACAACATATTTTAGTTCAATATAAACCTGTCATACATTTGAAAAACTCAGGCCTTGAAGTTATAATTTTATGTTCTGTTTTTTTTTTGAGAGGAGACTAATAATTTCTACCTGTGATAATGAGATTACTTCACATATTAGAACAGTTGCTTAAAGATGCACATTAAAGTCTCCAAAGCTATTTCTCCTGGATAGAAGTTTTCTTTTCTTTTTATGCTCTGGCCTTTTGCATTCAAGGCTTTATCTGACTCAGAAAACTGGCTAGCTCCCTCCTGAGGAAGGAGAGTGGACTCTGAGTAGATCACGTGTCCCTCTCATCTCTGCATTCTGTCTCTGGGAGGGTAGATGAATTTTGTCTTGGGAGCCCTTGCTCAGAAACTTGTGATGTCCTGTGTCTACAGAACCAGGTCCAAACTCTATCTAGTCTGGCAGTTGAGGCTCTTCTTGACTTGGCTTTCTCCACTGATGTCACCGCCCAACACTATAACGTCCACTCCCTCTACCCCAAACCAAAATGGCCTTTACGTAATGCTACAACAATTACCAGATGTTAATTGAATATTGACATTAATCAAAATCACTAACATTTATCGAGCATGAGTAGTCTAAAAATTTACATGCATCTTATTTAATTCTAACTCCTAACAGTCAGGATTTTAGCCCAGACCTTTGCTACTTAATGAAATTCACTTGCTTGTTGGAAACTTAACATTCTGTGTATAAAATAGGGATAACACATTTTATAGCACTTGTTGCCCCAAAGCACTTGTGAATATCTTTACTTGATTATCCATGCTTCCTACCAATTCACTATAATGCCAGTATCACTACTGTTGCAATAATCATTTAGTTTACAGGGCTTTTTGCCCTTTCTTACTCCAACCCTTTTGCTGTGTTAAAATCTCATCTTTAGGGCAAGTATCATCTCAGGGAAGAGTGGTCTTCCCACACTGCTCAGGTGAGGTCTGTCTCCAAAAGATGTTCTGTGCTACATAATAAGGAGAAAACCAGCAGTACTGGTACTTAAAATATTGACATGCCTCCAGACCAGTTGACAAACAGACCCTGCGTCAGCTCCCCACCCTATTCTTCCCTAAACACATCCCTGGACTTCAGCAACTAACTGGGTGAGCCCTGGCCCAGAATGGGTCTCCAGGACTTGACTCTGTGATGCAGGTGCCATCACCCCTGCCACATACCACTCCTGCCCAGCACTATGGCTGGTAATTAAACCGTGATTCGTTCATTACTTATGTCCTCTGCCTCCCCTGCCAGACTAAAAACTTTAAGAAAGCAGAGGTTGTGTCTGGTTTTTGCTAACTGTTCGAGTCCCTAGGGCCTGACTGATCAGGGGAAATAAATATTTGTTGAACACATGGGCAGATGATATCTAGAC